ATATATATCTTAAACATACTTGGTGTCCCATCCTGCTCTTCATATAGCTGAGGATTGGGAATATAAATCTTGCTACATGCACATATATACTGTACATCAGTCATGTGAAGAGAAATGCTGTGGAAAAACTAAGAACAGCCTTCCTGCTTCCATAGAAATTTGAAAAGTAAGTAGCAGCCAGGCACTGCTCAGGGGTAACAATCTGTGCTTGCTTTAGCCACAGGCTCTAGCACCTTGAGGTCCACCATGAACTCCTCTGTATGGCAGATGAGAGGCCATCTGTCTGACAGCTTTTTCTTACAAGCAATAAGAAAAAGATCCAAGCGCACCAACAAATCTACAGCAAAATGGCTGGAAAAGAAAAGATTCAGGGCTGGAATGGCCCAGTCAAAGCCCAGACCTCCACCTGATTGAAATGCTGTGCATAAAGAGAGCTGTGCATAAATGAATGCTCCCAAAAATCCCAATGAACTGAAGCACCATTGTAAATAAGAGCAAGCCAGAATTCCTCCACTGTGACGTGAGAGAATGAAAACAATTACTTCAAGTTATTGGTGCTAAAGGTGGTTCCAAGTACAGCCCATGACTCAGTAACAGGACTGCACACAGTCATGTGAAAAACAAAGTTTTCACATGACTCTGTGTGTGTGTGTGTGTATATATATATATATATATATATAGGTAAACAGAAAAATCCATTCCATTTAATATCACTAAAAGTATTTTTATTTAATTTCAGTAGAACTCACAAGTTGTCAGACTGAAAACACACTGTTAATAACTTTAGGACTAAACAGGGAAAAAAATAATTTCATCTGAAATTATGATCTCCAACATTTTTAAAACATCCACTTATCAACCCATTGCAGGTGTAACAATCACATACACAGTTTCCACAAGTAAATTTTTATATTTCAAATATTCAAAGAGGTGCATGTCCACATTTGTGTAAGAATCTCAAACCTCAATACTGCTCGAAGATCAAAAAGACAACACATTTGGAGCTCGGCACAATTAAAACCCATGTATTTTATTACGAGGTCTAATTTTGACCGACTTTCTCTTTAGGCATCAAAATAGTTGTAGCCATGTGAGACGTGCCTGGTGAGCACAAACAAGGGTGTGGATTATCTGAGGAGACATCTCCCAGTGAGGTCAGAACATATTTGATGAGCCTGGTTCCCAAATAAGGGAACAACACCATCCGGGAGCTCGAGTAACGTCCCCTCAACATTCAGAATCCGCTCATTGTTACTTCATTTTCACATGTCACATAAGCGTTTTGATAAATTTCACATAGGAACTTTGATCACAGAATGCCTACGTTGGAAAAATATGTGTGTTTCTATCCATTAATGCAAGCACGACATTACTTATTATATCATTTGCACTCTTTTGGGCTCTTTAGGACCGAATGTACTACACCACAGGCAGTCAATGAATGGCCTAATCAGTCGAAAAGATTTTACATCATACAAAAAAAAAAATTTAAATTAAAAAAAAAAAAAAATCACCTTACTGCATGTTAGCAAATCAAAATATGTACAAATCTACATTAAGTAAATGAGCTTCTGAATAGGCACTTTAATTCATAACAGTTCAGCCAGCTGTCAGTATTCTTTGATGAGACATCACAAACACATAAAAGCTTGTTTTGTTTTGTTTTTAAACTCAACCAGATGGAGGCAGAAAATCCAGAAATAAACTAATATTAGCCCTAATAACCACATCAGTATACTTGGCCAGACTGCCACACACTCACACACACACACACAAATGTAAAATACACACACAGGGAAGCTCTAGTTTCCAAATATAAAGTTACAGCTTCTGCTACAGTACAGAAAGGAGACATTTTTTTAAACATGCATACAGTCTAGGAAGGAATAATCGCCTCCACCTGTGAAGAAATCTGTAGCGGTTTTATTACGCCCTCCACCCCTCGGAAAAAAGTCGTAATAGGAGCCTTTCACCAAAAGGAAATCTCACGCAAAAATATAAATAAATAGATAATAAATAAACTAAATGAATCAGTATATAAATAAATCATTTTGTTAAAGAAATCAATGTTAAATAAATCAATCAAACCGTAAACAGACTGATTTAGAGGCAGTGCTAAAATCTAAGATTGTGGAGATGCTCCTGGGCACTGGTGTGGATGCAGTTCGTTCTCTTTAATCAGTACCTGCCTGTTTGTTCTGCTCAGGTCTTTGTTTGCTTCCTCCTTTGATAATCTCCTGATCACATCCTTGAACTGCTGATGAACTCTGGGAACAATAACTAGTGTTAAAGTGAGCCAGTCTGTGGATATGTTAGTGGGATTAGTTACCAAACTGTAGTGTAGATGGGCTTTAACGCCCTTCAGTGTTATGCGTGGTGCTTATCTTTAGGTAGAAACACACAAAAGGAGCTGGAAAAATGTGACCTGTGTATACAGCTAGGTTTAGAGAGCGCTGCCATATCACCAGTGTGGGATAAACACAGGAGCAAATGAAGCCTGAAGGTGAAATGTAACCTATAAATTCGAGAAGCTCTTGATTTAAAAGTCCCTCACGTCACATTCAGTGTCACAGTTATCCCGACTTAAATCAAGCTCAAACTATTTTAAAACTGCATGTTAGATAGATTGGCGGTGAGAAAATCAATCTGTGCTTTCTGATTGAAAATCCCGAAGAATTCATTTGTTTTGTTTTTTTAAATATGTCATTATTTTGATCAGTTGTATGTATGGTGTGTATTTTTTTTTTTTTTTTAAGTTGGAAACAACAAACTGCGTCCTCAGAGCGGCAGCTTTCTTACAGTCTGTGCCTGTGAGGTTCAGAGCGCGGGGGGGAGGGTGGTGGAGGCAGGGTGACGGTAGTCGGGGTCTCCACGGGGTCATCCATGGGCAAGACCAGCCGCGTTCCCCGGATCGCCACTTCGTGTTCTGCCACGGAGAGCTCGTGATCCAGACCTTCATCGAAAGAACCTACACCACCCCCGGCGCGGGTGGTCGAGGAGTACTTGGGGTTGACGGTGCGGGATCCGGACGCGTCCGTGCTGACGGTGACGTCGGCGTACATGGAGCTCACGCTGGCATCGTTCAGGATGAAGTCAGAGTCGTCGTCATGGAGCTGACCTTCATTCTGGTGAGCGGGAAGAGAAGAGGCGGCCGTGAATGCTTCTACACGAAACTTAATCAAAATCAAGAATGATCCTCGATCAGTATGAGTAAGTTTGCATGTACAGTACTGTGCAAAAGTCGTGAGTTATTTCTTTATGTTTTGTTGGGAAAATGGGAAATAGGTGCAGCGATTTACTGAAACGTGAAAACATGCATGGAAATAAAGTGCGTGAAGTAAAGTAAGTGAGTAAGTCAATATTTGGTGTGACCACCTTTATTCTTCAACACAGCCCGAACTCTAAGAAGCTTTCCTGTTATTTCTTTATAGTCTTTAGGAACAGTTCTCCAGGCTTCCTGAAGGACAACATGATCCCACACTGCTTCAATAATGTTGAGGTCTGGGCTCTGAGGAGGCCAATCCATGACTGAAAGTGTTTTATTGTGTTTTTTTACTCCATTGGCAGTGCGTTTGGGATCATTGTCATGCTGACAAATGAAGTTGTTGCCCGTAGATCAAAATCTGATCTGCTTTCATAATTCAATCAATCAATTTTGATAAGATCCCCAACACCACTGGCTGAAATGTAGCCCGAAACCATGACAGAGCCTCCACCGTGCATTAAAGACGGCCGTAAGCACTCACTATTGTACCCGTCTCCTGACCTCCTCTATACATATTGTTAAAACAGAAGTTTGCAAACTTGGGATCCTCACTCCATCAGAGCTGTTGCCACTGATTTCGAGTCCAGTTCTTGTGTAATTGGCATAACTCAGCCTTTTCTCCTTGTCACTCTTCCTTAAGAAGGGCTTCTTGTCAGGCACCTTTCCACTGAGACCATTACTGATGAGCCTTCAATGATCAAATGAAGGTCCAGATGGATGTCTCAGGTCCTGAGTCAGGTCTTTATTGATTTCTTTTTTATTTCCTAAAAAATGATTATCAGATACTACACATCTGCTTTAGATGTTTCTTTTAGAGTTAACGCTTCTTCTTTAATCCTCAAATTTTCAGTATCCTCTGATATTTTTTAAAGGACATGGCACAGAAATACTAGTTTATTCCTGTCACATGGCTTTTTCTATAGATTAAACTAAAAACAAATAACAAATAGTGTTTTTTGTGACAGACTGCCTAAAGATACAATTTAAAATCTTTTTGTTTGCCAAGTTTTCTTAGTTTAGGTAAGTTTGTTCTGCTTGAATAATTCATAGATAATTTTTAAGTGTACTAAAAAACAAAGAACAACTACAACAACAAAAACATTCCTCTGAAAATGGTCAGGAACATGGACTTCATTGGAAAAAAGGGAGTGAAAAAGCAGCCAATGTCAAAAGAAAAACTTTGAGAAGCCTTCAGAAAGTCTGGAGAACTATTTTCTCAAAGAGCACTTCAAAGAAAAAAAAGTTACAAGACAGCCTGGCTCCTTAGAAGGAAAATATAAATAAATGAGAGGTGGCTGAAGACTTTTACAGTCCTGTAAATCTGAATAACTCATAATTCTTTTTCATGTCCAAACCTCATAGGCCTGTGGGCTGGTGAGGCATCGAGCCAGTGGTCCACAGCATGCAGGCAGAGTAGCAGTGAGAGGCGGACCGCTGTGGGTCAGGAGGGGTTTCAGGTAGCTGGTGAACAAGCTCGTGTCAAGGAGTGCACAATATAACCATTTTAAAGCAGTCTGGTTCAGCTGTAACAATAATGACTCAACCAGGTTTTCAACCCCAGCAAGTGAAGGAATATTTCTGTTTCACAACATCACTGTGAAACTTAAAACACATTTTATGGTTTACTATAATTCTTTAGCTGAAATGTTCAAGTAAAAGGTTTAACATTTTAAAAACACCTTTGTGAAAAGCACGATATAAAACATAGTAAAATAAATATCATCACTCTATCTCTGAACCTTCTGTGTTGTTATGTTCTAGAAGTTTGTAAAGAGCGCCCTCTGGTGGCCACAGGTGAACACACCAGGCTCAAAGGATACTTGTGGTCAAAGTTGTACCATATCCTAAAAGGCCAGGCGCTCTCGTGTTTGGTGCTCCTCCGCTGTGACCCATCCAACGCGGCTGAATTCTGTTCAGCAGAAGGATGATAATGACATGGCGTGCATTTTTATTTCATCACAAAATCAGACAAATTAATACGGCACTCAACACCAACTCACAGCGTTGTCTTGATCAGAGTCCACACCCACCCTAAAAAAACAAAACAAAACAAAAACATGTACTTTGACAAAGTTCAGCGGAGGTGATGCAGCACAAACAGTAAGATACACGGAGGCCGGCTTACGGTATGCTCATGAAAGATAGCATGGGTGTGGTGCCGCCACCGCAGATCCACACAGTGAAGAAAACGATCAGGAGCGTGGTTGAAAACATCATCTGACGGGCGTAAGTTGCTGTGTCTCGAATGGAAAGTGCAAAGGTCATCGCCCCACGCAGACCTAGAGGAGACGAAAAATAAAACAGGGATGGGTGAAAACGTTTTATTAATTATTGCTCATGTTGTGGATACATAGGCATATATGAGCAAATAAGAAAGCAAGTCCAAAGAATGCAAGTCATTCTGAGAAGACCGAGGTCGAGGTCAGGTTTAGGTTTAAGTCTGCGGGAAACAAAGCAGGCGCCCTGTAGTGTGAAAACAACTGGAAAGACCAGAGTATCTTTCACATATTATGTGATCATTGGTTGAAGGTGGACATTTCAGGCTCCAGATGTGCAGGTGACCGACGTCAACTAAAAGTAAACTGAGACCAAGTACTAAAAAAGTTGCCTTTGGTTTCAGTCTTTGTCACTTTCATTAAGTCTAAAGAGGCTTTGGTGTAAATAACTACAGCCTCTCTGTGAATGTGAGCCGTTTACCCTTTGAACTTCTTTCTTACATTCACCAACAATATGCTAATAAAATACACAACTCCCACTCAGACTAATCAAAATGAAACTTCAACTGAATTCTTCTAGATGATAAAATCAAAACTGAAACATGTACACCCACTGTGGAAACAAATGGAAAATCCTCCTTCTTTTTAGGGGTTGCCACCGCACACTATTTGCTTCTCCCTATCTCTAGCATCCCCTTCTGTCACATCAACCCTCTCCGTGTCCTCCTTCTCTACATCCTCCTCTTAAGTCTTGAAGTCTGGAAGCCCCATCTTTAACATAGCTTTGTCCACTACATCCACCATTGCTCCTCTGCACATGTGCAAACCATCACAGCCTTGACACTCTAGCTGAAACCACACCTAATGAATATTAACTATAACAGCTCTACAAGTCACTGAACTTTATTAACGTTCCTCTTTGCTGGTCTCTTCCTGTGCGCATTCCACATTAAAGTGCAGCAGCGTGCCTTTTGTCCTTTTAGTATTAACTTAATAAAAGTTAATAATAAATGCATCCTGTTCTTGGCTTAACTACTTCAGTTATTTCCGGGCAAGCTCATGTGCTGTGCGATGGTGTGGGTGTTTTTGCTTCTCCGACTGCTGGTATATGTAGCAATGCTAACGAGCAGTTCCAAAAGTTTTCTCAGCGTACTTAATGAACCGTTGACATATATAACTGAAGGTTTAAGAGGAGAAACATGGTTTGAGTCCAAGCCTGATAAACGGCTTTATACTAATGTACCTGCAAACATCATAACGTGCTGAAAGTTGTATCCGATCTTGTTCTTGCGGCCCAGGTTGAGGAGGAAGGACAGAGGGTAGATGTTTGCCGCCCTGCCCAGAAACACTGCCACCTACACAGCGCAGGAAGGTCAAGGACACAACACAGGAACTCTAACACTGGAATGGAAAATAATCACACGTAGACGTAAACACCAGCTCGGCGGTGACTAAGCTTTGATATGCCGATTTGCTTGTGTCCGTGACGTTATTTTTGGCCTTGGTTAAACAGGAAATAGATGTTCAATTGTAATGGTATAAATATATATCAAAATATTTTTCAAGGCACAATGAAACAAAAGGTTTTGATCATATATCCTGATGCACCGCAGAGGCACTGACTCCTTAACCACCAGCAGAGTAAAGGATACGAAGGCTCCGACAATGAAGAGAGGGTTGAAGACGTGCGACTGGAAGGAGAAGAGCGTCAGACCCATGTAGGAGAAGATGAAGTTCTCTGCCAGGAAGTTCAGCAGCTCAAACAACTGAAGGGGATGAGAAAAGCGGATATTGAATTTCATTTATATATGCTACTTCCCCAGTTTTTACACTTCCTTCTATTTGAAACATTTAAAAATTTCCAAAATATTCTTGCGCACCATAAAATGACGACTCTGGAAGACCCAGAGTTTGGGAGAAGTCATTTAAAAAATGCTTGTCACATTTTCTAATGAAGCTACATTTGATGCGCCTGTTCTACAGGGGCTTGCCAATCAAACATGTTAACCACTACACCAACAGAACATGTTTGTCGGTGACAGAATGCAGTGAAAATCAATAACCTGTATTACAGAGTCCCCTCATAAACATTCTTCCAGCTCGCACACTACAATGAAGCATCAGCTTTTAATTAACTTTGACATCAGAATCATCTGATGTTTTGGACGTGTCTTCCCCTAGGCCTAGTCACGCAGGATTATAGGTTGGTTGGTGACCCACTGGCAACCTTTAGTCACTAGGGAAAATATGTACTCACTGTCCAGTTGGTGAATGATTAATGGAGGTTGTTGGCACCAAAAACCTCCTTGTGCTCGCTCTGGACAGATTCGCGCAGTTCACTGTAGTTTGCATGGAAGATGCAGATTTTCTGCAAATACTTTGCAGCTGCTGCCCGTGCAGTCGTTAAAAGAGACCTTCAAAGTAAAAGCTGTGCCTTACCAGCGCAAACTAAACATTTCAAAGCGGCCTGGAGTGCCGACGTAAATATTTTAAGCTGGTTTTCAGACACTTGAAAGCCATTTCCCACATTTGCTTCTTAGACACTTTTTTGTCATATCTCTAGCTCAGTGCTGCTTTTGAGTCAGGTGACCACAAGTTTCTGCGTGTCATATCATCTTTAACTTATCAGAAACACATAACTATGATAAACTCATATCCACAAACATCCTGCATTATCATGAACTGATACTGATGATTGTGGTAACTGGTTATTAACATTTAGTTGATATGAACGTGCAGCTTTGTGACTTCCTAGCTTCAACAGAAGACACAGAGCTTTTGAGTTTGTAGGACACGGAGCAGTCGGCCACATCAGCTCCATCAGCTCACTGTTTCTGTGAATAAATGATAGGATTTCTCAGAACTTTCTGCAAATTTGGCAAAAAGTATAACCAAGCTTGCGCTAATGCCCAAGAAGCAGAGAAGCTGAAAATCATCCTTCCTTTCAAGATATTTCACAGATGTAATTCTTTGCAAACCAGATCTTTAAATGCAACAACGCAGCAACAATTGCTGCTTGAAAATGAATTTAAAACAATGTGATCAAGCGCATTATATAAGTTATACTGCATTTCACCTGTTTGGTCCTGTCTTGAGAGTCTGGTGAGAGATTGTTGTAGGTGTAGTGGGCCTGAGTGATCCCACAGAACAGCACAGCAACGACACCTGAAAGAACACACAGTCATCCCACATCAGCGATCGGTAGGTCGATAATCTTGGTTCAAGCTTCGTGAGATTCTGCAGTTCTGCTATTGTTAGTCAAACCCAGACATGAAAATCCAACGATTACCAAGCACTGTGTGTGTGTGTGTGTGTGTGTGTGTGCGCGCGTGTGTGTGTATCGTGTATTTGTTGACATGTTTCTTCATCATCAGAAACACAGTAATTGTATCTTAAGCCCACAAACTGTCCGCAGTAAGTTGCAGTTTTAGAAAACTGGGCATTTATTTTACTTACTGTATATATTTATTTTTACTCACTATCCAGAGAACTGAGCTGAGAGCCACAGTCAGCACAGACAGGTAGGAAACTACTGAGAGACAGACTAAATAGACATTGTTGTTGCTGCTGTTTTGTCATTTGACGGGGAAAAAAATGAATTCTTCAGTTAGACACTGGATAACTGGCACCATGAGAAGGCAAACAAAGCCTGTGTCCTTATCTAAATCTTCCTGTTTAGGAGAACAAAACTTCTAAATGTTATTATTAGTGTCCAAACAGATATTTATAACCTTTTGGTGTTAATGCAAACGCTTGAACAGCAAGTGATAAAATTCCTTCGAATCCATCATATCGCAGCATGCCACACGCTCCCCAGAAAAGACAGTAAAACAGTCAGTTTTACTTAGTAGACCAGCAACTGTGTTTTAAATGAAGCTTCACACTAACACAAGATCGATATCAGATGTCTTCTTGTGAAGACCAATGAGTTCTCAGACCTGACCTATCTTTGCAAAATACTACACAGAGAAATACCTAAGAAACACACAGATAAGCTGACACAGACTCTGTGCCTCCACAGAGCACTTAAATGACTCCTTCAGGGTAGTTTCCAGTGAAAGCATGTGTCACCAAGCCTGTGCACATACACACGCACAGACTCACAAGGTGAAACCGCTATCTCCCACACTGCTGCAGCTGCTAATCAAATACGGAAGGCAGTGTTGTTACAACTGCATGCAAGAGACTTTGTTGCAGGTCTACCTGTGAACCCGCAGGCCTCCGCCAAGAGAAAGGTGCTCCAGGACATCAGGAAAAAGAGCGCCGTCTCCAACAAGGGGAAGTCCCGCAGCTTAGTGAACTTGGTGACGTGATGGAAAGTTAAGGGGCCAAACAAGGAGGCGTGGCAACTTTAATACACTGGAAACAGGGAGAAACTGTATCGTTATTCATTTACCTCTTGCACACACCTGTGAACGTAAATGTAAAATATGTCATGGTAAGAAACAAGTGAAAGGATATGAGTGCGGTCACAACTCCTGTAACAACTCCGAGAGCAAAAGAGCCGCTGAAGACGCCCAGAAAGACGCCGAAGGACTTCAACATGGCCATGGCCTCAAAGCTGTGGCTGTTGTCGCCTGCAGGCTGGTACGCCACAATGGAGCTGCAGGGAAGACAGAGAGCATGCACGCAAAACCATTTAGAAGAAAAAAGGAAGTGGGGCTTTACTACAAAAAAGGCCTCACTGAGAAAAGGGAAGCTGGTCAAACACATGCTCACAAAATAGCGTCAGGAATGAAATCACAAATGCAGCAACCCAACTCCAAGAATGGCTTCTCTTACCAGTCTCATCATTAATTCAGATGAACTTGGTTATGATTTGGACATATCTGCAAAGACTTCAAATATGTGGAGTTGGGTTTTACAGTCATAAATGACAAAATAAAAGGTCTTGCATGCTTCGTTTGAACTCTATCAGGTTAATATTCTGCAATAACCTTTAATGAGCCTAAATGACTAAAAACTTCATAAGAATAAAGGGTTTCCTGGTGATTCTAGAAATGGTGGGTGATCTAAAAATCAAAAATCAATGTAGGAATGGATATGAAAGGGCTGCAGCGTCTCAGGAATGAAAGGGAGGGTGAT